CAAAAACTGAAATAATATGAGCATTAGTTTAGCACAGCAATAGGTTCTAAAAAAACATGGAAATATATTCGTGAAATAGGGATTGGCAACAAAAGTAATCATGTTCCCGAGAATATAAATGTAGATGAGCTGAATGAGAAATTTTTACAATTATCCGCCTGTAGCAGTAATATAGGTCGTGAAAAGTACAGTGTATGTATGAATGGAACAATACCTGGTTTTACCTTCTCCAATATTGATGATTGTGCCGTTGTCGAGTCCGTCCTCAGTGTGAAATCTAATGCGATTGGCATAGACGGAATTCATCCGAAATTTTTCAAATGCTTATTGCCTAAAATTTTACCGTACGTAACTTATGTCTTAAACAGCATTTTGACTACGTCTGTTTTTCCTCACTGTTGGAAGTCGGCAAAAATCATTCCAATTAAGAAATTTTTAGACTTAAAGATTTAGACCCATCGCAATACTACCTTTTTTATCCAAGGTACTTGAGCGCATTATGCATACTCAGATAAATTCTTTTCTGAGTCGAAACCTGCTGGTGAATAGGTACCAATCTGGTTTTAGATCCAACAGAAGCTGTATAACGGCGCTAATTAGGGTATCAGACGACATCAGACTAAACATTGACAACGATCGCGTAACTTTATTAACACTTCTGGATCATTCCAAAGCTTTCGACACTGTTAATCACGAACTTTTAGCCTTGAAACTTAGTAACTTGTTTAACATTTCATCGACAGCATTAAATTTAATAAAATCATACCTCAATGATCGCTCGCAAGCTGTTTGTGCCGGTGACAATATATCTAACTGCTTCCCCGTAACTAAAGGCGTTCCCCAAGGCTCGATTCTCGGTCCTCTATTGTTTGTGTTATATGTAAACGATCTTAAAAGTGTGTTAAAATATTGTGATATTCATGTATATGCAGATGATGTTCAACTATATGTCAGTTGCCCTTTTGTATCCGTCTATAATTGTATTAGTAACCTCAACACTGAATTAGATCACGTTAGCAAGTGGGCCTGTGACAATGGGTTACTTTTAAATCCAAGTAAATCACAGTGCATCGTTATTTACAAGAAGACTTTCAAACTTGAGGGCTACAGTGAAGTGAAATTGAACTACTCTGTTATAAAATTTGTTGACACTGCAAGAAACCTAGGGATAATTTTCAATAGAACCCTATCGTGGAATACCCACATTTATAGTGCAATAGGCAAGGTTTATGGCATGCTCCGTTCATTATGGGCTATTCAGCACTTTACCCCAGTGAAAATTCGACTGCTTATAGCTAAAACATTTCTGTTACCAACCTTATTGTATGGATTTGAACTGTATGCCAATTGTGATAGTCTGTGTCGTGGTAAACTTAATATCCTCTACAACAACATCGCCAGATACGTGTATTGTGTAAAACGTCGTGATCACATATCTATTTTTGCCTTAAAAATATTTTCTGTAAAGTTCGATGATTTATTAAAAGTAAAATGCCTAATGCTGCTTCACTAGGTCATTAACTCTCATGAGCCCAAATACCTTGTTGAACGAATTCAATTCACTAGATCTGCCCGATCACTTAACCCTCTTAGTATGAAATACAGTTGCCTTGTGTCTGAACGTCAGTTCTTTGGTTTTGCTGTTCGTCTTTGGAACGCTCTGCCATATAAGATCAAAACTATCCGTAGTACATCGCACTTTAAAAATGAGCTCATACATAATTTTGACCTCTAATGGCTAATATGCACGTCCACATATATCTTTTTCTAATACTTCTTTGTTCTACTTCTCCTCCTTCCACATTTTTACAACCTACGGTTTCCCTTTGTCAATATTTTGCCTTTAAAGCACCACTTTTTTTAATGTTATTTTTAAGCTTTTATAATTAAATTAAGTTCCAACACTGTAAATAACTTATGGTTGTGTGTTTGATTATAATAATAAATAAATTCATAACCAATTCCGCATGACTTCCGGCACTAAAAAATTATTAGCTCGGTAAATTTTTAACCAATTTTAAGTTTTTATATGGGTTTAGAAAGAACAGCATTTGTACTATTTAAGAACAAAAAAAGTTTTGCAAGCACATTGTAAATATGTGGAGATTTTTGGAATAAATCTGAAATTTAGACCAATTTTTATTATTTCTTTCACTTCTACAACATTTTATGCCAAAATTTCAAAAGAAAATATTATCTTTTAGTCATTACTACGAAAATAATGTTTAATTCCGAGAAAAGCTAGGAGCCGCTGCATGCCGAGGGGCGACCGCTGTTAACAAAAAACCTTTTTACCTTCGTTTTATTAACTCGGGATGTAACTATGTAATATTGATGCGCCTAAAAGATGCAGCGATTTCTATTCACAAGTTACATACATGATGACAGTACGAATGGCAATTATAATAGGAAGGTTTTAGTTTTTTAAACTATAATTTTATTTCTATATTTTTTTTTGCGATGTTGCTTTGACCAGGGCTTGAACCCAGGCACTGCGGAGTGGTAGCCACAGTATATACAGTAATTATCCTTTTTGAGTACTCCTCGGGGGTAAATCTGATCAGGGTTGATAATGAGAAGGAGCACGCATTTTGTTCATTCAGAGTTGTATACAAAATTACTGTGGTATGAAAGGGAGCAACAACCGTACGATGGCAGAGTGGCACAAGTCATGACTGTGTAATAATGACCGAAATTAGTTGCAAAAGTGTAAAACCATTGCAAATTATTGTCTATTATTATAGATGCTAGTACAGATTATCATAGTTCAGTGTATAACTTGTTATATTACACCGTACATGATAATGAACTGTTAAATGCTGAAAACGCTTATAACTTGTAGATCAATGAAACTTGGGTGTGCTTAATGAACTGTCTGGGCGGATGCGCTGGCAGGCATTGGGGTCTATATAACTATACAAACCTTGTTCTTAAAATAAAGACTTACATATGTTCGAAAATTTAGAATTTTGCTTGATAAATTCATCGACTGATACTCGTCGCGAAAGGTAGTGCGAGTGTTGGTGATTTTCTTGGTGTTTCTCTTTCGTTCTTTCCTTACTCACTTTGTAAGTGTATTCATACATTTCTACATACTCGCTATTAAAACGCGCGTGTTTTATTGTTTTCCATCAATCAGTGCGTAGTTACAATGCCCCCCGGGGTACCCCTGCTTGGGGATAGCAGGTCCACAAGCCCTAAATCAAAAAGGAAAAAAATCTCTAACATAACAAACGATAACTTCCCAGTTCTACCAGCAATAAAAAAAGGACCACCCAAAGTATCTCGTAGCAAGTGCTATAAATTCAAGCAAACCACTTAACAAATACTCTTGTTTCGTAGTAAACAAGGCACTAAAAAACATCAGCTCAGAAATTGTTAGTATTTCTGAACTTAGAGACGGCAACTTATTGCTCTTAGTGAAAAACTCTACAATAGCAAATAAATTCGTATCAACGACAAATTTAATTGGAGTCTACAATGTCAAAATAGAATTCCACAATAACCTTACTAGTACCAAGGGTACAATATATGCTCCTGGCCTTAATGACATACCTGAAACTGAAATAGTAGAAAACTTGAAACAACAGGGTGTAACTTCAGTATTTAAGTTCCCCAAATTCATTGA